GCCCAAGTTCCTGAGCCATGAACGCTGCGCAGGGACTGGCTCTTGGAGATGAGAGGGGTGTGCTTGGGGAGGTCCCGAGGGGGCAGGAAGCCGGGCTTCTCCCCTGCGGAAAAGCTGGGGGTGGAATGGAGGAGCTCAGACCCTAGACTGGCCCCTGAGCTGATCCCGCCCCTAGTTTTCACTGGAAATGACCAGACCCATGATCTTTTTACTTCGATGTGACCCAGTCACTGATGAGGTCACACACTCTGCCCTGGACTCTGACACGTGTGATCTTTCTCTGTAGCATCACTTCCAATCTGACCTTGGGCTCAACCTCTGCTCACCAGGGCATCCTCTTCCTTCCTAACTGATCCCCTCTTACCTACAACCTCCGACTTTAAACTGTCCCTGTCTGCCTCCTGGAAGACCATGGGCCCTGACCTCTGACCCCAAACATGACTCTGCTGATACCTTTGACCCATCTGGCCCTGACCTCTGCTTACAGTATGAACCTGAACCTGACCTTTGATGATCTACCTTAACATCTGACCACATTCGGACCCCTGATTTAACCCCATCACCAGCCTCTCACTGAAATGTGATCATCGCTGAACATGATGTCACTTTCTCTCTCGGATGCCACATGTGATCTCTCCCTGACCTCTGCAATGACCAGTTCCCACCCTGGACTTCAGTCTGATGCTGTGCCTGCCCTCTGACTACACTGTGGGCCTCTCCCTGACCCCTTGGAGGAAGCCGTCTTCAGCCTCTGACCTCCATCCAACACTTTCGGACACTGACCCCAATGTGACCCCATCTCTGACCCCTGACATGATCCTGCCTTCACATAACCCTGCCTTCCCCACCGATTCCAATCTGACCCTGTGCTTGCCTTTGGCCCTGCCCCTGCTCCCACCCATCAGAACTGGACCAGACAGCAAGCAGGCAGGTTACCTGGAATAGACCTGGGCTGGGGGTGGTGGGAGACGCATGGGCACAGATACAGGTACAGGGCGGCCTTCCTCAATGGCTTGCAGGATGGTGGGCAGGGGCTCCAGGCTGTCACGGGTTGCCTGGTGGGGCATGTAGGGAGGATGCTGAGAAGCTCTCGGAGCCAGAAGCTCTCGGCCCTCTTGCTTCCCTACCCCATGTTCTGGTCTCTAGGCTCAGGACACACCTGGTCAAGTTCAGCAAAGATGGTACAGAGCTGGGCATGCAGGACCGCCAGCTGGAGGGCCAGGTCACTGCTGCCCTGGTAACCACTGGGTGCTGCATCCACATCCACCATGGCCACTTGGTCCAGGAAGCGTTGCATGGCAGGCCCATGATTCTCCAGGAAGCTACTCATAAAGCCCATGTAGGCTTCCTTCTCACCAAACCTGGGTCGGGGTCCAACTGGGTAGGTCAGGTCAGGCATCTGCCACCCCCATGGCCGAACCATATCCCCCACCCCCAGCCTTCCAGCACCTACGGGGCTCGGTTGGCAAGGTTCTGGATGACCTTGGCAATCAATGTGAGGGTGCGGGCCGGGGCAGGTGCCGGGTGCTGTGGTGCCAGGCCAAAGAGGCTGGGTGCCAAGATGGCCGGACACAGGAGCCGCAGGAAGAGAGAGGCACACACCAGCCGGGGGCCCAGTGCCTCGGAGCCTCGTGCCTTGCATGCTTCTCGCCAGTCTGAAAACACGGTGCCCAGTTCTGCTGGGAACCAGCTGGGACAGAACAGGCAATGGTCAAAGGGGGAGTGTATGGGCATAAAGTTCATGGATGATCAAATTCCTAAGGTCAGGGATTAGGAGTCACCTATGTTCTGAGTTCCAAGATTTAGAGACATCAGGGATAATGATGCTTGGGGGTCAGGATTTATAGTAGTGTTATCGTGGTGACCGCTGGAGGTCAGTAATCTTGGAGTTGGGGGTACAGGTTCACATGGGGACAGCTATAACATAACTGTTATCCTGTAGCCAGATCTAGCCAGACAGAGTACATGATATGAATAGAATGGGTCACCCAGGTTCAGAAATCATGGTATTGATGTCCCATGTGACATGGGATTAGGTATATAGCTTAGCCTGGAGTCAGAGGTCAACAAATTGGAATCCCGGGTTTCTTGTGATCATTTGCATAGGATTTGGGGTACAGTGTCACTTAAGGCCAGGGGTCATGGGATTGAGGGCACGACATCACCTGAAATCAGAGAGCATAGGATTGAGGTCCTATATTAACGAGGGTCAGGTGGCATGGAATTACGATATGATGTCCCCTGTGGTTAGAGGACAAGGAATTGTATCCCAGGTTACATGGCGTTAGGTGGCAAAATATCGGGAATGAGTTACCAGAGTTAGCAAATAAAACTACAGGATAACAGTTAAACTTGAATTTCAAATAATAAATAATTTTGAAATATAACTATGTCCCAAATATTGCATCACATTTAGCTAGGCACCCTGCATTTTATCTGGTAACTGGCACAGTGGCTGGGAGGCAGGGGCAGGCTCAGGGGCTGGAACCCTGATTCTTACTCATATGAGCGGATGATGTTCTCGAAGACCTCCTCACAGCTGCTTTGCAGTCTGGCTTGGTGCTGGGGCAGCTCTGAGGCTGGGCACTTGCTGGGGTCCACCTCACAGTCCTCAGTGGAGGCACAGATTCGCCGCAGGACCTGCCCTGCAGTCCAGCACAGCCAGACAGGGGCCAGGGCCATAACCACCAGGACCCACCAACCCAACCTCCAATTCTTCTCCATTTACTTTGGAGGCACCTAACCTCTTGGGGAGTCCCCGGTTCCCTCTAGGATCCCAGCACCTCCGAGGCATCACCCACTACCAGAATCCAGGTTACCCAGGTCCTGCCAGAAGGCTTCTACAGGCCCACCCACAACCCCAGCGTCGGGGATGTTGCTCACCCAGCGTCTCTTGGAGGTAGTCCTGTGCCACCAGCTTCATGTACTCATCGATGGCCTTAGTGGCCAATGTATTTTCCCGGAACAGCAGCGCCTCACGGCCTCCACTGCGTGCCAACTCCGCAGTTCCCAGGTCTGTCACCAATGCCTGGGCATAGCGGGGGGTGGGGGTG